AGTGGTTAAGTGCCCTTGAGTTCAATCCCCGGTACCAAATAAATAAATAAATAAAGTGATGAGAAGTAGGTATATTTTGGAAATGGATATGTTTTGAAAATGAAACTATCTCATTTTGCTGCTGAATTAAAATTTGGGTTATGAGAAACTGGAGACGTAGTCAGGGCGTCTCCAGTGTTGGGCCTGAGCTCCTGCAGAAGCCAACTTGTCTTTCAGGAAGGCGGCACCCAGCAGGAGCTGGTGTGGGCAAGTCCAAGGTCGGCTTTGGGAATTGCCAAGCGTGGGAGTCTGTTTGACAAACAAAGGCATGTGCCCAGGAACCGACTGATATTCAAGATCGAAATTGGTGAAAAGTCTAGACTAGAGGGTAAAATCAGAGAGCTGTCAATACGTCTTTGTTTCCTTTTTCCATCTTTCCCTCAGAAAAAGGCTGGTGATGACTGTGGTGGTTAAAATAGCTCAGACTTCACTCTGGCACGTTAGGCACTGTGAGCAATGTCACACGTGTGCTATTTCATTTAATCTCAACAAGTACTGTGTGAGCGAACGCCCATCAAGCCTTTTTACAGATCTGCAAACTGAGGCTTTGGGGGGGCAAATAACCAAGACACTGGGTGACCCAYCAGTACTGTCAACAGCCATTTGAGACCAAGGCTCAGCATTTCCTCTGCTGGTCTTACTCTAACATCTACTGATTGTTAAATCAGTACTTGGTACTTAGTACCTGTTTACCAAATGGATGAATGACTGGTGTCAATCATGGTGGAAATCTTCAGACCGGTCTTCACTGTGCTGCCCAGGCTTGGAAGATGAATGTGAGCCAAGGGGTCCAAGAGCACATGATGCTCCCACATACCCTGCAAGGGGCCCTCATTCCCACAAGGACCAGTCAGGTCTCCGTAATACCAGCCCACTTGCCAGAGGTCAAGGATCTCTGGCTGCCCCTCCCCAGAAAGTGTCTGTTTTCTGCTCCTTTTGTCTTCCAGAGCCCTTCCAAGTGACCCCAGGGATTCCAGAGCCTTCCCAGCTGGAGCATGGGGGGCTGAGCCCAGGATGGGCAGGAAGGGGGCTGGGTGGAGTACACATCATTTGCTACTTACAGAAGAGGAAACTGAGGCTCAGAGAGGAGAGTGCCTTGCCCAGGTCAGTGGGACAGGGCTGGTGACCTCATAGCACGGCGGCTGCTCCAGACAGCATCATCCGCATGCAGGCCAACTCATGACACTGGCAGGACAGTCACTTCTCTGTTTCCCTTTGCCAGGGCGCTGGGGACGGGCAGTGCTGCTCAGTGACAGAATGGGGACCTGCTGAGTCACAAGAGGACAAAAGAGCCTTTCCCAAGCCTGTCTGATGAGCCTGAAGTGACTACCTTTCATTTAATCCATAAAGGGCCTTACTGGACTGGCTCGCTTGGGGAGACCGAGGTCTAGGGCTCTGGTCACTCACACAGAGCTGCTGGGCAGCAGAACTGGGTCGGGAACACCCGTCCAGCTGCCTCCAAGTCGAGTGCCCTGGTCATCAGGCCACAGAGCTTCGCTGCCCTCCTGACCTGGAGCCTTCTCCCAGCTAAACCCTAAAGCAGGCAACTCGGTGACATTACTGTGGCCCCAGTGTGGCCAGCCACCCCCAAGTCTAAGTAACCCCTTCCCCCCTCCCCCTTCCCAGCCCCCCCCCTCGCTCAGCTCATCTCTGGACCCTCTGCCACGGGGCTACTTGGCTGCAGGCAGCTTGCCTGGCACCAGGGTCCCCTGGGTCTAGAGAGGGATGCCTGTCTGCTGACTGTGTCCTTGGTGAGTAGGGGGCGGGCCACCACGGAGGGAGCGGTCACAAGGTGTCCTCCGTAGCAGAGCACAGTTGTGTCAGGGCCAGGGGACCCTTGGTTTTCCACAGGACGAAACAGCTGTCCTGGGCTGGCACAGGAGAGAGCCCAGGCCTGTCTGGGCCCAGAGGTGGCAGAGCCCTCGTCCTGCTGTCAGGAAAGCAGCCGGTGACCTGGACGAGGAGGTGAGGAGGAGGTGAGGTGCAGGACGGGCTGTGGGCCGGGGGGGGGGGGGCCTGAGGGCCCCTGTTGCCTGTGGAGGCAGCACCTCGCAGCAGCACCCTGCCCCCCTTAGTTTAATCTCCTAAACTGATTTGTCAGCAGCAGGAAGTGACATGACAGCTTTCCTCACAAAAGGGAAACTCCTCCGCGTTACCATGGGGACGGAGGCCACTGTAGGATCACAGATTTATATAATCTTAAAGGTGTAGGCACATGATGTCATCCCCGATGGCCAGGAGGGAGGGGGCGGATGCCAGAGGCTGCGAACCAAAGCAAATGAGCACGACTACAAAATTCCAAGGAAAGGAGAGGATGCKGCGGGGGTGGAGGCGGGGAGGCTGGAAGAATCCTAGTCCAATAATGGATGCCTGGAGACCACAGGAAATCATGAGGCTTGCACTGATGCCTTCACCACATCTAGAAATAGAGATCGGGGAGGACCCTGCCCCTCAGAGCCAGTGCTCTGGTCATCTTAGTGGTGGAAGGCAGACTCGGCATTGCCAGGGTTATTGGGACCAGGGCAAGGGGATGGAAATGCTAGGTACTTTACATTCAGGGGTTCATTTCTTTCTTTCTTTCTTTCTTTCTTTCTTTCTTTCTTTCTTTCTTTTTTCTTTTCTTTTTTTTTTTGAACCCAGGGGTACTTAACCACTGAGCCACATCCCCAGCCCTTTTTATTTTTCATTTTGAGACAGGGTCTTGCTAAGTTGCTAGTGCCTCTCTAAGTTGCCGAGGCTGGCTTTGAACTTGCAATCTTCCTGCCTCAGCCTCCTGAGCTGCTGAAATTACAGGCTTGTGCTACCACACTTGGCTTCATGGGCCCATTTCTTCCCCACAAATAAAGCAGCTTCTATTTTCCTCATTTCAGACAAGGAAACTGAGGCCCTAAGGGARGAATAGATTTTCCACCCCAAAATTCCACAGTGAAATCATGGTGAAGTTTGGTGGGTGGCCAACCTTGGCTTTCCTCACTCCTTCCAGCTGTTCTTTGCACTGAGCTGGACTCTTAGTCCTGTCTTCTTGTAGGCCTGGCCTCCCATCTCTGCAAGACGGTATACTTGCTGGATGACCATGGACATGTTACTTCATCTCTCTAAGCCTCAGTTTCTTCCTCTGGAAAATGGGTGTTGCGGTTGCATGTGAATGTGCACAGCCCTTAGGCTGTGCCTGACTCATGGTGCTAACTCTAAAAGTGACAGCTGTCACTCTCTCATTCTCAGTATCAGGTGATGAAGTTGTCTCTATTTCAGGCTGTCTCTGTCAAACAGTTTAATAGAGTGAAAGTACTTCTTTTCATCAGGAGGTACTCATCTTTCCCCCCCCCCCAAAAAAAAAACAGTGTCAGGTCCAATGGGACGTTTCCTGGAGGCCTGGACGCTGCGATCCAGCATATGGACCTGTCCTGAGTTGCAGGGGTTGAGCTGTGGAAAGCGCCGGCTGTTTTCACTGGCGGCTCCCTAAGGCAGCTGCTGTATTTTTCCACTGAGTGGATCCCACTGGAGATTAATTTTGGCTCACCCCTGCCAAGTCAAAAGTGAAGGCCCAGGCCCACAGGGAAGTCAGCCATGACATCTACCACCGACGACGTCGCTGGTACATTTCCACGAAGGGAGATGTTTGCAATAGTAAATTTCTAGGGTTGGATGAAAACAGTGGGTACAGTTTGTTTTGAAAAGCAGGAACACACTTGCCATGAGCCGGAAACCCAGCCAAGGAAATGAGCTTGCCAGGCCCCGGGAAGCTCTCACATCTTAGAACACAGGGATCTTTTAGGGCCTGCAGGTCAAGTGCCAGAGGTGGACCAACAGGGAGAAGTCAAGGACACCAATTGTGAAAGCCCTTGAAAGCCGGGGCTGAATGAGGACCGTGGCTCGGGGTGCTCCTAGTTCCGTGGAATGGTGTGTTTTCTTTTCTGCGTCCCCCGGCACTTTGTCCAGAAACAAGCACGTGGCAGCAGGCACCCAGGACCCRGCCGCCCAAGAGCTCTGCAGTTCTTTAATTCACCATTGTGCACTGGGTTGTGGGTTGGTTGTCAATTATGCCACCTCCTTCTTAGCCTGCTTGGCAGGAGGGTAAAAATTCAGAATACTGCCCTGTAGCAAGTCAGACTTAATTGCCTATCTTCATTGAAATTACCAAATCAGAGTAGCAAGGGACCCAAAGGAGGCAGCAGACACAATGTTGTTTCTGTCTGCAGAGGTTGGTGTGGAGGTCCCCGACATCACACTAGTTGGGGGGGGGGTGAGGCCTTACAGAGCTTTCTCTGGATTGGGCCTGCTCATATGCCATTGGATATATTTGTTTTGCAAAAGTAAAGCCTTTTTTCAAAAGCAAAGAGAGACTGGCAGGTGATAAAATGCAAAGCACATAGAAATTAAAAACAAAACAACAACAACAACAAAAAAAACGGGTTCCAACTGCCCACTCCTGCCTCGCAGCTGTGCAGGGGTCCCAACATCTTTTGCAGATAAAGATGCAAAAGACCTGGTTAGGGTTTCCTGGCGCCACAGCACCCACCATCTTGCACAGAGGAGCACATTTATGTCATGTTCTGGAAAAACACAGTTTTCCTAACTCCAGCACAGCTGGGGGTGGGGACATGATATTAACCAGAGGAAGGTGGAAGGCATGAAGCAAAAGGGAACCCAGGCAGATGGCCTTTTCTTCCTTGCTCTGGACACTTGGACTCCCTGGGTGACATAATAGGTTGGTTACCAGGCTGCTGACAAGGACACGGCAGGGGGTGAGGGGACACTTTGACCCTGTACAAGCATTCTGCCTTAGCACTGGTGTCTTACCCTAGCACATTCCCTGGCGACCCAGTCACCTCATGGGACCCAGGGGCCACCAAGGAGTGCAGGATCAGATTCTTCAGGCACTGGTCCAAATGCTTCCCTCACTAGCAGGACAGGGATCAGGCAGGGTTGCCAAAGAAACAAGCATTGAGATTTTCATAGAAATCACATAATTTATTCTGTTGTATAAAAAAATTCATCCTTATATAACAAAATGTCTTCTTAGAAGAAGGAATATATTATTTCAGGTCATAAATAACCAGCAAACACACAACTGTTGGCAACTAAATAAACCAACACTGGTGTTTTCCACCAGTGGTGAGAACAGACCTGCTCAGATCTATTTACAAGATAGTACAGTACTGAACACAAAAATTGAGGTATTTGGTTCTTCTAGGAGTAGACACATTTGTGAAGGCAGACCGCCTACGGGAAAATAAATAAGGTATATTCTCATACATATATGTCATCGGGAATGGTAATACTGGTAGGTATGTCAAGCATCAAGTTTCTAGAAAAAACGGAAGCAAGCAAAGAGAAAGCAGCTCACACACGGAGTCCTTTCTCTTCTGCCCCATTTTGTCASAGGGACTTGATGTACCCACTGTATATTGGTCCGCAACGTGCTGAGTTCAGCAAATGTCTTGACGCTGTCACCATGGCAACTGCTCAGAACCCAGGGAACTTGGGTGAAATTAAATAAATAAGGACCAGCACCCACAAGCCCATCTCTGGAGTTACTGCCTCTCTTCTGGAGGAAGAGCCTGTGGTCCTGGAGGGATGGAATCTCCTCACCTCCAGGGCCTTTCAGCAGCTGGGGGAGGTGGTGATGGGGCTCTGAAGGTAGCTGAGGGCACTGTTCGTGGAGTGGACAGGGATGGAGACGGGGAAGTTGAAGACGGTGGTGGTAGAGGTGCCCCGGTCTAGCACAGCCATGGCAGGGCTCCCGGCCTCGGCAGAGCAGTGCGGGGCCAGCACCTGGGACTCGAACTGTAGCAGCTGGCCCATGAAGCTGAAATTGGGGGAGATGATGCTTCGCCTCTGCTTCACGAACTCAAAGGCCTCATCCAGCTTCACCCGGTTAGTCYTCATGAGGTAAGCGAGGCAGATGGTGGCTGACCGGGAAATGCCCGCCTGGCAGTGGACAAACACCCTTCCCCCTGCATTCTTGATGGAATCTGGAAGACAAAGGAAGCCAGAGCTCAGGAGGAGGACCCCAGCCAAGAGTGGGGTGTGCAAAATGTCATGCGTGTCCTAGCCAGGGGGTCAACATCACCTCACGCAGCCACTGGGCACTATTCATGGAGGGAACATGGGCATTAGGCAAAGGACAGCAAGGGATTTAAACCCAGACAGTGTGCCCACTTAGCAGATGGATCTTCAACAAATCGATCCACCTTTCTGAGCCTCAGTGAAGTGGGACATCAACTTCCATATTTTGCAGGGACACTATGACACCAGATTAGTATCTAATGTCTGAAAGGCTCAGATAGGGATCATTCAACTGAGTCCTTGCCAAAGGGGCTATGCTGTCACCCAAATGGGGAGGGGCAGAAATGTCCCAGGTGGCACTGCTCACCTATGAAGTCTATGGCCTCGTTGAACCAGGAGCTGATGTCCGCCTTGTGGTTGTCCTCCACAGGAATGCTCTTGTACTGGTAGTGGCCCTCAAAGTGGTTGGGGCAATTGGCCGAAACATTGATC